GTGGTGGGTGGTGGTGCGTGCTGGTGATGTTGCCGTTGCTGTTATGTTGCTGGTGTTGGTGTTGACGTCGCAGTTGCAGTTGCAGTTGCAGTTGCACTTGCTGCTGCTGCTGCTGCTGCTGCTGCTGCTGCTGTGTTTTTTGTTGTTGGCGTTGGTGTTGGTGTTGGTGTTGGCGTTGGTGTTGGTGGTGATGTTGGTGGTGGTGGTGGTGGTGGTGGTGGTGGTGGTCGTGGTGGTGGTCGTGTTGGTGGTGTGGGTGTTGGGGTTGTTGTTGCTGCGGCTGCTGCTGCTGCTGATGCTTTTGCCGTTGTTGCTGCTGCTGCTGCTGCTGCTGCTGAAGCTGCTGCTGCTGCTGCTTTGTTACTTGCAGGGGTTTCCCAGGTGCGTGTTTTCGGGTGTTGACGGCGGTGGTGGACCTGGTGGGGTTGCTGCTCCTGCAGCTGCTGATACTGCTTTCATCGCTGATGATGCTGATACTTGTCCTTGCTAACCGTCACTACTGCGATGATCTAGAATCTAGATTCTATGTAGATGGTGCGGATGGGATGGTGGTTGAAACTGCATGTGGATGATCGCCCCATCCCTGTCCTCATCCTTGCCTCCTGACATCTACGGAGTGGGATCTGTTAGGATGCTGTTTTCATCGGCTCCAAGCGCCTGACCGCGAAGAAGTCCAAGAAAGCCGTGCGCTATTGGCGCAGTGTCGGCTTGGGCTTCGCGACGCCGAAGGAAGCCAAGGAGGGGAGGCTTGGACAGCATCGCGGCAACCATGCGGGTTTGCGGCACTCTTATCGCTTGGGGCATGTGGGGTTCTGAAGTTCTGCACTTTAGCTCTTAGTTTCCAGCACCTGTGAGAAGTGGGGTGCCTGACCATGCGCAGATCCTTTGCAAAATCCAAGGAACTTCGTGGACAAGAAGTGCCCTTTCACCGGGCTCTTCGGCCGAAGTTCTTCATGGTAAGTCCTCGCCGATAAATCATCGACCTCCGGAACCCTCATGACTGGGTCTTTTCCGACAGACAAGATTCTGAAAAACTCAAAAGTCAAGAGTCCTTCAGCACGGAATATCTTCAAATCATATCGGAATGATTGGGCTCCAAAAAGCCCCCTACCTGACGACCGTGACGACTTTGATGAAGGCGACAGTGCTTGTTGGTGGTGGTGTGAACGTGATGATGGCGATGTTGGTGCGCTGAGAATTGTGATGAGTATGATGGGTGGTAGCCGCCGCTGGTGATGACGGTGATGGCGCTGGTCATGATATTAATGGCTGTTGTGGTGGTGATGAAAGTGGGAATGCAGGTTGGCGACGATTCTGTGGATGGTGATGTGATCAGGAGATATTGATGGCCGTGCTACTGTTATTGCTGTCGCCATCGATGGCGAAGAAGAACAATGTCGTATATCAAGATCGTGCTGTGGCTATTGGCTATTTCGTGGTGGAAGTGCCGGTGATGGTGATGGGCTTTGTATGATGATGGTGGAGATTTTGACAAACTTTTGTGGTGATGGCGGCAGTGAAGGTGATGATGTTGATGTGCATGACACTGGTTGTCGTAACGGTGACGGTGTTGGTGATGAGGGTTGAAAGGCAGAAGAAACTGATATTGATGACTGTGGCTGTGGTGATGTTGGGTCAGAGCTGCCACTTCTGCTTTATAGAGATTCATGAAATCGAAATACTTTGAGAACGGAGAAGTCATCTGCCAGGAACGTCAGCATCCGCGGAGCTGTGCTGAAGGGCATGGTGATTTCAACCAAGATGAAGCGCACCATCGTGATCCGCCGGAACTACCTGCACTACATCAAGAAGTTCAACCGTTTCTGGGCTTTGGAGGTTTGGCTGTGTTTGAGAACCGAAACAAGTCGCAGAATCACCATACGGTTTAATTATTGCTCACAAAAGCAGCATCGAAAAGTAGTGCCGGTGGCGGTTGGGTTGCGGTCAGGGCAGCAGCATCATCAGCAGCAACAGTAGCAGACGTAACGCTGATCATGCCAAGTATGCCGGAGTAATCTTTGTACCAGCCCCCTGGAATGCAACAAACGGCCAAAGGGCTTATGGGAAACCTGCTCCATCACACTCCTAAATCCGAAACCCAAGCTCTACACCTTAACAGCAGCCATCCCTGAGGAGACGCTTCAAAACCGCATCCGATGACATCGTACAAGACCTTAAAAAGAATGGGTAAACTCTTCTAAAACATGGCTATGTAAAGAGTTCAAACTCGATCAAGCTGAACAAACAAGCCCTCCAAAGTGTCCCCACGAAGCTTCGATCACTCAACCTTCAAACCAGAGAGAGAAGAGCACCCTAAACTCCGAAACCCTAAAGCCCTATAACCCTAAACCCTCTATCCCGAATCCCTAAACCCTAATCCCTCAACCCTAAATCCCAGAAGCCTCAAACCCTAAACCCTACAACTCTAAACCCTATAACTCTACAACCCCAAAGCCCTAAAACCGCAAGTCCCTAGGCTTCGAGAAGCGCCACAGCAACCTGGCAGTCCACTGCTCGCCGGCCTTTGAGCCCAAGGAGCCGAGAAAATTGCTTCCGAAATGCGGGGGTTTAGGGTTTAGGGTTTAGGGTTTAGGGTTTGGGGGGCGCACCTCACCCCAAGTGGCTTAGTGACTTAAGGGTTGAAGTGTTGAGGGGTTTAGGGTTTAGGGTTGGGGCCTTAATGATCAGCATAGGGTTCCTTTAAAGGGTTCTTAAGAGGGTCTATAAGGGCTACTTTTGGGGTTTATGGTTTAGGGGCCTTAATAATGAGAATAGGGTTTTATTATATTGTACTTATAAGAATACTTGCATGGACTGGCGGTCTCTTCTGGGGGTTTTGTAGGGGTCCAAGGGTCTAGGGTTTAGGGTTGGGGTCTCAATAATTACCTATTATGCTGCCTATGCTATTTTGGGGGTTCCTTATTATAGTTATAGTATAATGTACCCCCAAACCCTATTCTAATCATGGGTTCTCATGGGGGTCTTGTAGGGGTCCAAGCGTTTAGGGTTTAGGGTTTTGCAGGGGTTTAAGGGTCTCTCAGAAGGGTTTCATGAAGGCTTGGGTGTTAGCAGGCTGTACAGAATGTGATATAGGTCTCATAGGGGGTTTTGTAGGGGTACAAGGGTTTCATAGGGGTTTTGTAGGGGTCCAAGGGTCCCGTAAGGGTTGCGTAGGATGGTGGAGGGTTTTTTGAAGCTTTTATGGTGGTTCCTAGAAGAGATTTCTGGATGTCTAGAACTGTTTCCTCAAGGGTTGGAGTGGCTTCTATAAAGAGTCGAATGTAGCGCGTGGGGCCAGTGTGGTGTTCGGGGTCGAAGGGTTCAGGGTTGATCATTTCTACTTGGAGGATCATGGGACTTAGTAACTAGGGTTATAAATAAGGTAACTGTAATTATAACCCCAATTAGTGTACTTATAACCTCACTTACTAAGTCCCATGATCCTCCAAGAAGAGTCATTATGATCGGTGGGACCTTCAAAAGCCCTGGAAGTCTTTTGCCTCAGCAACGCCAGCAAGGAGAAGCCGGTGCTTTAGGGCTTAGGGTTTTTCTTGTGCGCATGAGTAGTGTAGGAGCCTGAAATGACCTAGCCTGTGGATCCTTCTTTATCGCCCCTCTTAGTTAAGCAGCGTATACCCCGGAATCTGCTCTAACTGCTTAGCTGCCGCCGAGTTTGTCGAAGGAGGGCGACATCGTGACGGCAGGCCAGTGCCGACCACTGGCCAAGACCGTCCGCTTCAACGTCCTCAAGGCAAGCTGTGGGCCCGGTTTTCTGCGCTTCGCAAGTGCGAGCGCGTGCGAGGCGCAGCCCTGTCTATTCAGCCATTGCGGCAGGTGGACAAGAACCAGATCTTCGGATCCGCACGGAAGCAGTTCGCCTTGTTCTGAGAAAGCGCATTTCCAATTGGAGAGGTAACGAAGAAGTCGAAAAAGGCCAAGTGAAGAGCAGCCAGCTGCTGGTTGTTGCTTGTGCTTGTCTGCATGGATGGAGCTAAGGCTTGCAGGCCTGTCAGCTGTTGCTCTTGCTGACATACTAGTTGCTAGTTACGAACATTGTCAGGACAAGCCTGCTTATTTCTTGATGTTTGCATCGTTGCTGGTACTGCTAGAATACCCTAAACCCTCAATCCTAAACCTAAACCCAAAAAATCATGTGGCTCACAGCCTTTTGCTCCCAATCCCACGGTCTTCCATTGCTCGCACTCGGCGTGCGAGCCCCGGCCCAGCTCATCGGTCGAGAGAACAGGGGATTCAGTAAGGGTTATCAGTCATTTGCTGAAAGCCCTTTTACAATAAACCCTAAACCCTAAACCCAGTTAAGCTTTGTTGACCGTACTTACAACGTTTCGGATTGGAGGTTCGGCGCTCTTGCTGTGACAGGATTTGAGGCTTTGAGGGCCCAGTCTGCTGTAGCCGTTTGGGGCCTGGGGTAGCCGTGGCCACCGAGGATTGAAGCCGTGTCGGCGAAAGCCATACAACCCCGAAATCGTTAGCGCAAAAACCGTGCGAACCCGGAAAACACCTAAAGCCAAAGCATCTTCCCAGATTCCCTTCGTGCCTTGCTAGTGTTGCTGTAGATTGCTATGGCTATTCTTGATATTGTTTTTCGAACAGTCATTGTCGCTTTTCCTTGTCGTACTAGCGCTGAGGATAAAGTATAATCTCTGTGTCTATATAGACACATACAGATAAGTGCATCTGCATATATGCAATGTGCAAAGTTTCCGTTGCTCTCGTTCTGAGGTTAGGTATGTTACGTGTTTGTTGTAAAATCCCTTCCTCCTTTGCAGCGTTGCCCGAGTTTCAGCTGATCTCAAGGTTTTTGGCCATGCGGGCACTCGTGGCCGTGAAACGGGTGGTGGACTATGCCGTGAAGGTCCTTGGCTTCAACCTTACCATGTCTCAGTTGCGATTGCGTAGCCGCTCACCTCAGGTCCGTGTGAAGCCGGACAAAACCGGCATCGACTTGAACAACGTGAAGATGTCCATGAACCCGTTCTGTGAGGCCGCCCCGTATCTTCACGTTGCCTTGGAGCTTAAGGCAGCCCCATGTGCTGTACCTGGCAGATTGCGGTCGAGGAGGGATTGAGACTAAAAGAGCCGCATCCTCAATGCTGCAGCGGCTGCAGAGTGCCGAGTGTGAGCTAGACTGGCCGACAGAGGCTTTGCGGATCTGTCGCGCTGCTGAGGAAGGGGCACATCTCCGAGCTGATTGCAGTCTCCTGCGGGCCTGACAAGGTGAGCTTGCGGCTAGAGTTTAGAGTTCATTAGCTCAGTCGACCCAAACGATTCCGGAGCTCGCAGGGGGTAAAGGTGCAACTGAGAATCTTGCGATTGCGGATGCATTGTTTCGAAGCACAGGTGCCATGTCTGTCCTAGCTTGTTCTTGATTGTTGCTTGTACATACGTTGTGCTGGTCCTACTCAGAATACATACCATTATCAGGAAAGCCGCGGTTATGTATTCTTAATACGGTACTGAAGGCCTCCGAGACCCTGCGACAAGCCCTGGCGATGGGTGCTGACCGAGCTGTCCATTTGAAGACGTGCGGTGCTCAGCCGAAGATGCTGATGTAACTTGAAGCTGCGAGTAGCCAGCAGACACTAACGAAGAGGCGGCAGCAGTCAGCAGATTGCCGGAGTTGAGGAGGTGTTGCCACTACTACTGCTGCTGCTACTACTGCTATTGCTGCTGCTGCTGCTGCTGCTACGACTGCTGCTACTGCTACTACTACTGCTACTACTACTACTACTACTACTACTACTACTATTACTTCTATCACTACTACTACTACTACTACTACTACTACTACTACTGCTACTACTACTACTACTACTACTACTACTACTTCTATCACTACAACAACAACAACAACTACTACTACTACTACTACTACTGCTACTACTACTACTACTACTACTACTTCTATCACTACTACTACTACTACTACTACTACTACTACTACTACTACTGCTACTACTACTACTGCCACTACTACTACAACTACTACTACTCCTACTACTACTACTACTACGACGACGACTACGATTATGCCTCGC